ACTGCCCAGGTACTCTCTCCCATCTGGTCTCAGCTTGCAGGGACCAGAGTGGAGATGTCACTACGGCAGGGTTGAGGGAGCAGAGGGCTGGAGTCACCTCCTACCCAAACCCAGCATCCTGCACATGGATCCAGGGGCTCTGGCAGGCCAAGCAGGCAGCGAGGACTTGAGACCCTCAAGCTGCTGCCAGGCAGAGGCAGGGAGACTCAAGCACCCCTCCAGAGACCAGCTCCACTAGCAGATGCTTGTTGGGGTGCCCCAAAAGGAGGGAGCACTCACTGCACTCCAGGAAGGTAAAAAAATCACAGCTGGAGCAGGGGCAGAGCTATCCCAGCTGCAGCCCCAGGGCATCATCCCACCAAAGGAAGATGCTTTGGTTTGGTGCCCAATGCTCGTGTGGGGAACCATGACCGAGCTGGACTCAGAGGGGTCACAGCACAAAGCTGTCCCACCTATAGCGGCCAGCTTCAGCGTTCGGCTGCAGTCACCTCTAAGAGGGTTCTCCTAAAAACACCACCTAGCCTAAAAATGTCTTCCCTCTCCTGGGCCCTTGGAGCCACCGATGCTGCTGGCCCTCCTCCTCGTTGAGGGGCTGCTCACAATTCCCTCCCTTCATTAGCACGGCCACCTTGGAGGTATTTATAGACAGCACCTACCCCCTCCTCCTGGCTTTTCTAAAGACAACACAAATTTAACTCCTTCCCATGCTCCTCTTGACTCCAGCCAACCTGGCGGTCTGAAATCCCATGGCTTGAAATAACTAACCTCTGCAGAGACCTTCCCCACTCAGTGCATGCACCCTTCCTGTCCCAGCCCCAGATCTTCCACTTATCTAGGTCCCAGCACAGCCAAGTGTCAGCAGAGGCTGCAGCTGGTCTGGGCTCTGCTGCTCTTAGGATGGAGCAGAGGTTCATCAATAGATGCCTTCTCGGCTCACGCCAGCTGCCCAAAACAGCAGGAATGGGTCCGTCCCCACCAGCTCGGAACATCCCCAGCATCCCCAGGCAGCCTTGCACCTGGCACATGAGGCACATGGGCAGAGCTGGTGGGGAACAGCCTGGCACACCATGGGGATATTTAGGATGATCGAGTCCAGTCTCATAGTCTCAGCCCAGTGCCCGCCAGCACGATGGGCTCCACTCGCCTTCTCCCTCTGCCCCGCGCTGGGTGTGCGCCGGCCCTTTGGAGGCCCTGGCTGCCGGCCAGCCAGCCATTTCCTGGTAATCTAATAGCTGCAGCAGATGAACTGAAAATGCATTTCCTGCCACCGTGCTGTAAAATTTTTATTAATGTAAGGAGAGAACGCAGCGCTGGCTCGCACCGCCCAGGGCTGCAGCAGGGCGGAGGGCGGCAGGATCCTCAGCAGAGCAGCCGGGGCTGTGGGGCCACAGGGTTGGCAGCAGTGCCGTGGTGATACTGCAGGAGGATGCAGGTACAGGGCTGCATCTCCCACCAACAGCATCACAGGACAGGGAAACTGAGGCATGGGCAAGGGAAGTGTCTGGCATGGAAGTAAAATTGGACAGCAGTTCCTCAGCTGCTTCCCCAGGGCAAAGGATTGCTGTGGGTGGTTTTTTTGATGCTGCAGGTCCTTCTCCCTTGTGGTCCTCTCCCAAGGGCACCCGCCTCCACAAGGATCCTAGCGAGGAAAGGCTGCGCAGAGGGGATGGAGGCAAGGTGAGAGGAGGCAGCATGCCCTGGCAGATGGGCACCATGGTGGGAGACCTGCCACACATTCCTGCTTGCCTTCCGGATGGCATCTCATCCACCTGTGTGTCTTCATGGCCTGGGCTGACCCCTTCCTGGCTGGCAAACGGATGTCCTAGATAAAATCACCCATTAAGGTGCTCTTGGGCAAGGAACAGCCTATAGGAACCAGTAAATAGTGATCATGGGCCCCTGAGTTTGCCCAGGGAGGGAGCAGAAATACTTGCCAAGGAGGAGAAAGGTACTGGAGCTGAGACATACATGTCCCTGTGGATCTATTTCAGCAGCGGTTGCTGTGTCCACACAGGATTCACAGCCCTCGAGGGCTTTGCAAAGGACCCACAGGGTCAGCAGAGAGCTCAGCATCCCCCCAACATGTTCTTCACCATCGCCCTCCCCACTCACCCCCAGACCCAACATCCCACCCGGACCCTGTCACCACCCCAGGGTATCCAGCAAGTGACATCCCTGCGGCGAGGGGCAGCCGGCAGCCCCGGGGCTGTGGAGCTGGAGCCATTTGCGCAGCCCTTTTCCCACTTGGAGCCTGCTCCCTGCGCCAAGGCAGAGCTAAATTGGAAAAACACACACAATGACCTCTTGTGGAATGTAGTATGAATATTTGATAGGTCTAATGTAATCATATCCAATCAATACAGGCAGGAATATCTCTCTCCCCCCCACCCGCGCTCTCACTCTGCCCTGTCCCTTCCTCTCTTTCCCTCTCTCTCTCTTGCTCTCTCTTTCATTAATGCATTCTCCATTTTACATTATTTATTAACTTCCTTCCTTTTTTTTATTTAGAAAAAAATAAATTAAATAACAGTGGTTATCTGGAGGCTTGGACCCTCCTGCCTAAGCGCTTTTGGGTCAGGTAAAAACTTTTCTGACCTTCTCTCACCTCCTTGCTTTCCTCTGCTGAGACACAGAGGCTCTGCCCCACAGCCAAGACCCCCTGACACCCCATCCCTTGCTGCGCCCCAACACAGCCCATCTCCTACCTCCCTGTGGGCACTTGCCCTGGTGTGAGTCCCCAAAATCCCCTGAGCACATCCACCCATTGCACCTGGCACAGCAGAAGATGCTCAAAGCCCGTAAGCAAGCCCCTGAGGTGCAGGTATTGCCTCAGAGGTTGAGGGTCTCCAAGTCAGGCCAGAAGGGTTGTCTGCTCCCACCTCTAACATGGGTAAAAACAAGATTTCCAGACTAAGCCTGGCTGGAGCCAGTGAGGTGGGGAGGGTGGTGAGCTGATGCTCTGCTCCAGAGTCTCACAAACCCAGCTCATCCATCCCTTATTGCGGTTCCCAAGAAAAGCATCTTCCAAGACAGGCTTCAGGTCTTTAATGGAGAGAGAGGGATGATGACAGTGTCCCCCAGCTGCCTGCACCTCCCTGCCAAAACCAGCAGTGGCTGGAGCACTTAGTGTGGTGGGATCCACGAGCGGGAGGAACAGGAGGCTAAGCATGCAACAAGTGGGGGGCTTCTCACACACCAGCACCAATGCAAGGTGAACTCCAGCCCCATGGCCCCACTCCTTGACACCCACAGAGCTGGTGACAAAGAGCAGCAGAGATGCTTAAAGCCCCTTAATGGGGTAGGAAAGGTGAGGAGGAGGTTAAAGCTCCCTGTATGGGGCTGGACTCTCCCCAGCTGCTTCCAGGGCTTCTCAGAGTGGCCAGGTATGTCCTAGCAGTCCAGGGATGTCCCCAGGGATGCTGCTAATCCTTGCTGCTTTACCAGGGTGGGCTGAGCACAGGGACTTGTCTGCATGGGGACAACCCCACTGTCTGCCTTTGTGCCAAGTGCCCTGAACCCAGAGCCCCCCCCAGAGCCGCTTATTAAGATAAAGAGACCCTGGGCTTGAGAGCTGCATTCCTCCGCTCCAAGCCAGACCCAAGGGGCCATGAAAAGGCTGGGGCAAGGCCAGACTCAGCCTCAAGCAGTGGGAAAGTTGGGGAGCATGGGGAAAAGGGCAGTGCAGCAGCCAAAGCGGTGACCCTGGGGTGAAGGGTATCCCTGGGGTGGAGAGTGGGGAGTGAGCAGAGAGGGTGTGCCCAGGGATGTCCTGAGGGGGATGGAGCAGGGGCGGGGAGTTAGCAGGCAGCCCTCCACGGTCATGCTGCCTTCAATGCAGGCAGAGCTGCTCTTGCTTCAAAGTACATTGACTGGCAAAAAGGGAGACCTGCACACACCACCCCTTATCCCCTGCCTCAGACATGGGTGACATCAAGATGTCACTTGCTTGGGGACCACATCCAGCAGAGCTGGCAACCTTGCAAGGAGAGAAAACAGTGTTTTGTTGGGCAGTTTTGAGGTGGGGAGCCCCGCTACAGGGCTGCGTCCCCTCGCAATGGCCGTGTTGCTCCCAAGTTCCAGCAGGGTGGGAGAGGAATCATGGCCTGACCCCCTGGCACAAGGGATCAGGCACAGGGATGATGCTGGGAAGCCCATGCAGGAGCCATGGGGTAAACCCAAAGACATGGGACATGGGTCCTGGTGGGGGTCCTGCCCTCAGCATGGAGACAGAGAGTCACTGAGCTCCTGGATTTAACAGGCTCTGTCTCTGTGTGGCTTCCAGTTGACTCATCCCACCTTCTCCTGCTCACCCTTAGGGGCAGCTGATCAATTCCCCCCCTCCCCTAATACCTGCTCTGCAGCAGGAAGAGCATCCACTCCAGCACAGGAGAGGGAATTTTGGCTGTATAAAAACTCACCTTTCCCCTTTCTCCATGGGGAGGCATGAGAAGGTGCAGCTGCTGCCTCATCCCTGCACCCGTATCCTGGGTGTCTATCCTCACAGGAACACCCCATTTTCCCGGGGCAGGCAATGTGAGGCTGAAGGCTTTCTTACAGGGGCAATATGAAGCTAAAGGTTTTATTATTTTCCATGAGCGGGGGTTGTGAGAGCAGTTTAGGAGAGGACCTGTTGTTCCACAACAAATACACAGGCAATAAAATTCAAAGGAAGGACTTGTCTTTGCCCACACTGGTCAAGTTCTCCCTTTCTGGAGGACATCACCAAGCACACATTCACGGAAATCAACTCAGTTTACCACTTCTGATAGGTACAATGGCTTATTCTTGGTCTGCAGTAATTTAGGAAGGATCCTTCCCACTCCCATGCTATGGGAGATGTAGAAGACCCCCAGGGCACTGACAGAGAAAGAAGTTGGCTGCTACTCTTCAAGATGCCATGATCCAAAGCTTCTTCACTGGGGATCACCACAGTCCAGGCTGGAAGGAGGGCAATGATCCAGCCTCAGTGTTGGACGTAGCTTCTCCCCCATTGCCTGTGTTCCCAGGTAGCTCAGGGGCACATGTGAGAATTCAGCTGGGAATGGGTTTGAGAAAATCGTGGACTCCCTGGGGAAAGCACATCTGGATCCACCTGGGTCTGTCTGAAGAGACCAAAGGACTGTTCATCTCCAAAGCAGGGAGGGCTGAGGGTTTACTGCTTCCCCACTGCAGGGTTTCCAGAAGGGTCCTGTGGAGGAGCTGCATTTCCCCACCACTGGATCTCATGAACGAGGGTTGCTCAGGGCACAGGGGTGGAAAAGCCACCCAGGTCTCCCAGAAAACTAGACACAGTGCTGGCAGGGACCTGGGCAACCATGACAGCTCTCCCCAATGTCTCCCCCATCATCCTCATTCCTGGACACAACAGCGCTGCCATCACACGTGTCACTGCTGCCCGGCCCCGGCTCACACTCCCCTCACCGCTGGGTTTTGCTGAACCAGGCAAATCGATAGCGGCTGTCTGCTGATGGCACGACCAGGGTGGGGGGATCAGACGGATGAGAACAGGGGCTGAGGTGAGGTGGGGAGACAGAAGGAGCAGAGGGGCCCCAGGGGCTCGGGGAAAGGCCGCAGAGCTACGTGGCAGGAGAAGGTTTGGATGGAGGAGACCTGCAAGGATTTGTCTCTCATCCCCAGAGGGTCTGGAGGATTCACCCTGCTGATACAGCCCCTGTGGCAGAGACCCGGCTGCGTAGACACACGGGAACCAACACAGACTGTGCTTTAATGCGAATCACTTATTGACCCTGCAGAGCCGAGGGTGGAGGAAGATTGAAAGGAGGAAGTGTAGGGAAAGAGCTCCAATTAGCAGCATCAAAGTTATATATTATCCTCTGGAATGAGTGCCCGAGCCAGCAGGCAGCAAGCCAGCACAGTGGCTGCTGTGCCGCATGGTGCTGGGGGTGACCTGGCCTCTCACACAGCCCAGGGACCCCCCAGAACTTCCCCACTTGCTCCCCAGTGCCACCACCCCCCTCCACGGGGAGAGACTGCATGGCTCAGGGTGGCCACTTTGGCAAACACACTGGGTTGGGAGAAGGGAGCCAGAGCCTGGGAGCCGGCCAAGTGGCTGCTGGGACCATGGAAGGAGCAGATGACATTCTGCCGAAAGACGGGCAGAGCGCGAGATTCTTTCCACCTCAGCCTCTCGTGCTCTCCTTACTGGAACCATGGTGGTGCTCTGCATTGTTTAAGTGATCATGTCCAACTTTCCAAGGCACTGAGATGCTGGAACAGATGCGGAAATTTGCTGCAGGCCCTGGGAAAAATTGCTCCATGGCAGACTAGCAAGAGGCAGAAGAGCTGCTGGGATGTGGGGCCCAAAGGCATTGGGAGCAGCCTGCATTGCCTTGGCTGGGAGACGTTCAAGTCTCCTGCACGAGGACATCAGCAAAAGCTGGGTGGTGGGGGGACACTTTCCTCCCCTAGGAGGGGACACCCAAAGTGTGTCTTCAGGACCCCTCTGCTGCTGCAAAGAAATGACCACTGAGAGCAAATTGCTCCATTTCTAAGACAGACACCCCCCCTGTTGTCTTCTTCGGTGTTTTCCACCATGCCCCTCCCTCCAGTACCTCTAACATCCTCATTAACCCTGCGAGGGTCCTGGGATTCGCCTCCTCTGAGTCCACCTAAATGTGCCTCCAATGCCAAGGATCCTGAGGAACAAGGGCAGGGTCTCACCTCCCCCAGAGCCACCCCAACATCCCTGGGCAGATGCTCTGCCCAAGAGAGTTTCAGAAGTTTCCTGAGCTGATCAAGCCCCATGGCACATTCCCCTTTCCCTTGAACCGCATTCTTGCCCTCAACAGGGAGCAGGGAGCAAGAGGACCGCAAAGCCTCCAGCTTCCCCACCTATCACTCACCCATGGCACATAGTCAATACCCCATAAATAGTTGCCTCTTATGGGCCATGTTGAGCACATATTCCAACCTGGAGGAAGGGAAGACTTTCCAACCTAATGGCTCAGGTCAGGAGCTGCTCAGACCTGCAGGCACCCCCTCCTCCTCTGTCTGGAGTCTGTAATGGCCTCAGACATCACTGGATGCCCACCCTTGAGTGGGACCTGCTTGGATGAAGAGGGTGAAGATCTCCACCCCAGCCCAGATCCCTTGCGGTTTCTTCTCCTCCATGGACATACAGCCAGGGGCGAACCATGGCTCCCAGCCGCACTGTGGCTCAGGGGCTCAGATGACACCAGCATAGGGTGAGGGGAACCTGGATTGAAGGGAGATGCTCTCCTTGCAGACATCCCACCAAGAACAGTCCTGTGAGCTTGTGACAAAGGCACTGCCTGTCCAGGAGGGAGTGCAGGGAGCGAAGGCAGCTGGCAGCACATGGCCCCCAGGCCAAGCTAATCAGAGAGAAACCATGACGTAAGGCTGGGGGAAGCGGGGTCCCGGCCTTTCCCAGGCTCTGCCGTGCTCCACACTCCAGTTCCCTGCCAGTTTATCAGCCACTGGAGCGCGACCAAGGGAACATCGGCCAGGACAGAACAAACAAAAAAAAAAAAAAAAAAAAAAAAAAAAAGGAGAGAGAGAGAGAATTAAATTAAATTTAAAAAAAAAATACTGAAACAAGTCAAATAAATAAGCATTTGTGTTTCCATGGGGATGTGATGCATTCTTGGGAGTGGGAGCTTGGCCTCAGGGAAAACTGATGCCAGAGAGCAGCGAAGCCTGTGATACCTAAGGGGCCCCAAGGGCAGCCCACCAGTGCACCCAGAAGGACCCAGCTCATGTCCTCAGCTCTGATAGTCCTTGGATCAAGCGCTGTGCAGGCAGCCACACACCACAGTCAGGATCACCGCTGCTCTGGGGACTTTGCTTCATGTTTTAGCTCACTTTCTTAACACAGTTGTGTGCTCCAGGTTTTCCTGCTGGGCTCTGTTCCCTCAATCCTCTTGAAATCACTGACCAACATCACTGTAACAGACGGATGTTTAGAGGCAACTTTTGTCCTAATAAGTGTCATGAAAGGAGAGAGTTAAGAGGGGCAGAGAGGCCCTTATTATACACCAGAAAATCCCCCTGGACTCCTAGGTCCCTAACACACTGCCACGTTTCATCATAGCCTATTTAAAGGGGAAGTTCTGGTGGATAGAGGTTGTTTTGCTCTTTCTATTTCATTAAAACAGACTTGCAGCAGTGGTAGGTTAGGACCAGCCAGCAAATGGAGCTCAAATCCATGGACCCTCCTCTCCTTGATGTTTCTAAAAGGTCCTCTGGATTTTCTCTGATCTCGCTGTGCTGTGTCATCCATGATGAGTTTTGTTGGGTTGTGTTGGGCTGGGTTGTGTCATTCTCATTGAGTTGTATTGGGTTGGGTCACTCATGTTGGGTTGTGTCGTGTTGGGTCATTCAGGCTGGGTTGTACTGGGTTGAGTTGGGCTGGATAGTGACATTCAGGTTGGGCTGGATATGCATCAAAATGAAACAGTTCCTACACCCACATTGACATTTTTCAGAATTTTTGTCTTACCAACCATTTCCAGGAATATCTCCTACCTGCTTGGCTGCCCTTTGTTGTTGCTGCTCTTGTGGAAATCACATTTCCTGTAAAATGTGACTTCCCTGACCTGACTTGCAGAAATATCCCCAATTTTAGCCAGTGCAGAAGCAACGTGTAGAGAGAAACCTGCGTGTGCTCTGCACGTCACCGAAAGCACTGCTTGACATCACCACTGACAACACGACCCCCAAGAAATCCCACGAGCAGGGAAGAGAGACTGATTTCTTGAATGAGCTGTCAGAGGGAAACAAGAGAGCCCAATGGAGGATGCATCTGTAGGATGCAGAGTCACTTTCCTCTGCACGCGGCGATGCGCTGCTGACCTTGGAGCCCCGCAGCGCTGGAGCTGACAGCAGGGCCTGGCAGGGCCTTTCCCAGGCAAAGGACTAATTCTGCATCCTCTGGGCCGGATGCGATATCTCATCACCAGCACCCGTTAGAGAAGGGAAGAGCATTGTGTGGGCTGTTGCTTTTTTTAAAAACCATTTGTGACCCCGGGACTAGGATGCGAGTGAGAGCCACTGCTGGAGGAAGGAGGGGAGAAGAGGGAGAGGGACAGAAAATTCCCAGATCTCAACTCTCCCTGGGAAATCCCCAGAAAGCTCCCAGCATTTTCTTTCCCAGATCCTACGTGCTGGGGCCAAGCAGCAGGTGCATGTCTGAAACGCTGTGTACCTGGGGAGACAGCAGCCAGCCCCCCCACCTCCGAGGGGGGCCAAGGCTTGGGGCACTGCCTGCCCCTGCCTCACAGGTCCCAGCGGGTACGTGCCAGCAGTAGAGGCTCAGCTCTGTGGGGTACAAGAGGGACCACAAACCCTGGTGAGCTCTACAGACCACACTCCATGCCCCAAAGGGTGGCTTGTCTAAATGACCGTGAGCCACAAACCACGGGATGTCCTGATGCAGCTGCACTCCTGTATCAAACGCAGCCAATGGAGACACCACCGGGGGGGGGGGGGGGCATTCCTTT